TTTCTAGGATTCCTACACAGCAAATACACTAGGTTTATATTTGCTACATTAATCTAACCACAATTCTTCCCACCCCCATGTCATAAGAAACCAAGACCAAGGTTGAGCCACCTGAACACCTATGTGGAAGTGAGAAATGAGACCTTTCGGTGGGGTTTTTGCAGATGATACTGAGAGCTTATTCAGGATGGCTTCATCTTAATTTCTTTTAAACAATCCTTTCAGTGTATATAGTCAGATATATTAAGAAAATGCCCTTTTGATGTGCGGAGGAGCTAAGACTATCATTTTCAAATAATTTCTAGTGAGAGTGTTGTACTTGAAACATAATTTGCATCAATCTTTGAAGATGTATGTTTCAGGAGCTTTGACTAAGTAATACCTGTCCTTAGTCAATAACTACAACTAAATGCTCAAGCAACAAGTAAGAGTTTGAGCAAACTGCTCCCGCCCCGTAGTGTTGGTTGGTTGCAGCTGTAACAGGAGTCCGCGCTTACCTCTCCCAGTACGCTTGTGCTGATCTGCTCAAAACGGTTCGTCCAACAGTTTGTTGGTAGTCTTTTCGACAAAGCCATTAAGCATTGTTTTAAGGTTGCTGGAATGGAATCTATTCTTATTAATATTAAGTAAGCACATATTGAGTGCTTACTGTATGTTGGGAATTGTCCCTCAGCCTCACATGAATATTATTTCTATTAAAACCTCTCATATTTCCTTTTTAGTCGCACTTTACAGATAAGGAGACTGAGGATTAAGTCTTCTCTCTTTTGGGGGGAGCTCATTATCAATGATGGGAAGTTGTAAGGAAAAAGATATTGATTCATCCAGAGAAAATATTTTTCTGAGAGTCAGCATTGAAGAAGGTGACCACTGAAGACGATGATCTTTGTTTGGGTGAGACGAGCCCCGGGTTGTATGGAGTCAGCATCCCTGTCCTGGACACTGCACGTGTAGAGCTGCGTGGTGGGTGAGGCAGCACTGCCGCCCAGGGAACGCAGATGCCAGGCCATTGGGCTGTGCTCAGGCCCAGTGGGGCTTTCTCCTAAGAGCAGTGGACCGTCATTGACAGATTTTAAGTAGGGGAGTGGGGTGCTCCCGTAGATCCCTTTTGTCTTGTAGAATGCTTAGAAACATTTAGAAGGCTCGGCAGGAGGTGATGTGATGAGTCAGAGTAGGGTGGCTGCGAGGTGTAGCAGTGTTCAATTTTCAAGTGATTTTCAGTCCCAGGTTAGTGGCTCCGTAGCCGTGTCACTTTGGATGACACACTCAAGGAAGTGAAACAATTTATCTAATCAATTGAAAGAGTGATGTACCGACCTCCCAGGACTGCTGTGTAGATCCAGTGAGATAACGTGTGCACAGTGTGCAGCGTGGTCCCCAGCACAGAGTCAGTGCTGAGGGAGTGTCAGTGAGTACCTGGTAGGACAGGTGTCTGTGGTGGAACCCGTTGACTAAGGAAATTGGTCCCTGAAGTAGGGGTCCTCTGACATCTGTGAGTGATGGGCCTGAGCTGGGAGAGGCAGGGAGACCTGATCCCCCTACCAGGTGCCCTGGGAAGGACAGCTATGGGAGGAGCACCATGAAGTCAGCTCTTTGCAGGTGGAGTTGGAGGATCCCTTGAGACATCTAAGTGCATTGTCACAATCACAGGAGAGATCTGGGGCCGGGCTGTGCATTTTCCTATAATCTCAATCCCTGAGGATGCCGAGGTATTGATCACTGAACGTGAAGACATACTTTACAGGACAAGTGTA